CCCCCCCCCCCCCCCCCCCCAGCCCCCCAAGGTCCACCCAGGGATTGAGGCCAAGACACCTCTCCATCTGGACCGACCGTCAGGCCCGCTGAGCTCCAGACCAGAGAGGGACAGAGCCCCGAGGGCCGCCAGAAGCTGCACCAGCAGCCTACACACCCGAGGGCCACCAGGACCCCCACAGATCGCAGTCAGCCCGCTACCAGATGGAGCCAAACCCCACCAGGACGACCCGGCCAAGAGCGCCCGCCCAACCGCCGACAGTGCCAGGAAGCACCGGGATCGAGCCCCCACCACAGGAAAGGGGCCAGCCAGCCGGCCATGCACAGTCCCGGGCCGCCCCCAAGGACATCCACCCCATCCCCACTCCAGAAGAAATACTACACCCACCCCTCATTCGGACATCTCTCAAAACACATAGCACACTAGACACCTAGGCTGGGTCAAACTACCCCCTCCTAGGGGCTACTGGTCACGCCCCCAAACACCCAACCCCCCAGCCCACGACCCACAACCCACCAGCGAGCCGAAGGCCCCCGCCCAGAACCGGGCACCAGAACGCAAGCCGGCCCAGAGCCCGGCAACCCGCCCGCCAGAGCCCAAGATCCCCGAACCCCACAGGCCCAAGCCCGGGGGCGACAAGCCCCCAGAACCCCAAGCCCCCGCGCCCACCCCGAACCCACATCAGCACAGCCAGGCTACCAGACCGGTGACCCACGACCGCCGCCATAGACCACCTGAGGGCCTGCATGCAGCCACCAGCAGACATCCCCCAGAACCACCCAGGCCCTCCCCAGAGGGAAAGCAGTGCCCCCCTGCCCAGGTACCCCCAAGAGCCCAGCCCCCGGCAACCCCCCCGGGGCCCCAAACCCATACACCCACCTCCACATCAACCCCAAGGCCCCACAAGGTCAGATCCCAGACTACCCACCCTCACTATGTAACGGAGCCGATCAAAGGAGCCCACAGAGATTGATCCAATGTGTCGGCAGATGCTGTTTCAAGACTAATATGATCTAACAGCAGATTTTTATACTGATTAATACTAAGATTATTTTTATTTTTCCAATTCAGGAGTATGGTTTTCTTTGCGATGCATAAGGCAGTGAAAATCATGCGACATGTATTTTTTTCCAGGGTAACATCTTCCAAGATAGCCAATAAGCAAACAGACGGAGAGAGTGGAATATTACATTTCAGACATTTAGACAAGTCTTCACAAACCTGGACCCAGAACCTCTGAACGGGTGGGCAGAACCAGAGTGCATGGATATAATCATCAGGAATATTGCCTGTGCACTGTGAGCAGTTGTTAGATGATGTAAATCCCATCCGAAACATTCGCTGACCTGTATAATGTACTCTATAAAGAACTTTATACTGTATTAATTGTAAGTTGGAGATTTTAGTCATTTTAAATGTTCTTAAACATATTTGAGACCAGGTGTTTTGGTCAAAATTGATTGATAAATCTGACTCCCATTTTGCAACAGGTAACATTATGGAGTCATTGATTCTAGACAATTTCTTGTATATTTTAGATAATAATTTGGGGGATTTAAGATTAATGAACTCTAACACACATATTGGTGTTTCTAACAAAGTTTTATTAAGCTTAAATTTCTTTTTTATGATAGACTTAATTTGTTGATATTGTAAGAAGTATTTATTTTCAATGTCAAATTGTATTATTAAATTATTAAATGGAATAAAGTCTACACCTTCATATATGTGTTCCAGACGTTCAATTCCCTTGACTCTCCAACCTGGGAAATTTAACATATTATTTTCTTGTAGGATGTCAGGATTGTTCCAGATGGGTGTATGTCTACAGGGGAGTAGTGAAGATTTTGTCATTTTCAAATACTCCCACCATGCTGTCAGAGAAGAGCTAATATTGATGCTTTTAAAGCAAACATGTCTTTTTATATTTGTGCTAATAAACGGTAGATCTGAAATCTTAATATTATTGCATAAAGTTTGTTCTATGTCTATCCAAGTTTCATCTAATGTATTTGGATTTAACCACTTTGAGATATATTGTAACCTATTGGCTAAATAGTAGTGATAGAAGTTGGGAAGTTCTAACCCTCCGGTATCTTTAGATTTCTGTAATGCTTTTAAGCTAATACGTGGAGTTTTGTTTTTCCAAAGGAATTTAGATATCAAAGAGTCCAGTGACTTAAACCATTCAGTTGAAGGTTTATTTGGAATCATTGAGAATAAATAGTTTATTTTCGGCAGGACCATCAGGTTCTAGTATTTCTAAAGCTGCCTCATCTGACAGGGAATCAGAGGCAATAGTAGGAAAGATGGTGTGAATTTTCTCTCTAACTGAAATTATTGTATTTAGAAAGAATCTCAAGAAGTCATCACTGCTTATAGCATGTCACTTCCTTCAAACTCTTTGTACAGTTAATCAATTTTTATTGTTCATTTCAACTTCAAGGTTCAAGGTTTTTTACTGTCATTTACATCACATGTGGTACATGAATTGGAATGAAATTGTGTACTCAAGGTTCCAGTTACACTCAAAACTAGCAAAAATATAAACTTTAAAAGAAACAGTATATAAGGATCTACGATATGCACTAAGATATATACTAAACGAACGCTAAACAATACACTAAAGATCTAAGATATATGCTAAACACAAATAATGTAAAATAATACGGTATATTAAATAGCAGCCTAAACATGAGTCTGTAGTGACCAAATGAGTATGAATACAGCAGCATAAAGGCAAGAGATCAGCAGCATGGATAATCAGCAGCACAGATAAGTCACATATCACCAATTAAAGTGGCATTACAGTGATTATTATTATTATTTCCCTTACAGTGATTATCTTGATTAGGGATTTATAATAACTTTTGTTCTGGTTCAGCTTTTCTTAACTTGTTTCTGCTCATTTCAGCTTCTTTTTACTAATTTAATCTTTTTTTAATTTTTTTTTTTCAAGCTATAATTTAAGTCAATCTCCTACCAGTTTAATCTTTTTATGCTCCTTTCAGTTTATTTCTGCAAAATTTAGCATTCACAGCTTTTCAGGTATTTTCTGGTAATTCAACTCCTGGTACTGACAACATCAAAATGTGGGTGGGATAGGTGAAGCACCCACACCTCCCTCCACCCTCATTTGCCCCACTCTGGGCCCTTGAGCAAGGCCTTTAACTCCATTATCTGCTCCCACGGGTGCCCTAGATAGCAGCTCTCTTCTCCACATAGTCAGCTGTGGTAGCTCAGTGGTCTCTGGTTGCGTCAGGAAGGGCATCCAGTGTAAAAATAATTGCCAAGTCTTCCTGCGATTTAATTCGCTGTGGTGACCCCTGAAGCAGGGAGCAGCCGAAAGAAGCAACAAAAAAAAAATAGCTACTTTATTAATTGATTTATTTTGCTATTTCAGTTTCTTCAACTCAATAAATATTTTTTTTGCTTATTTCATATTTTAATCTATTCAGCTTCTTCTTTCTATTTCAGCCTATTTATCTATTTTTTGCTACTTTTCTGCTCTATCCAGCTTTTTCAACACATTTCTGCTGCTGCTTTCTGCATTTATTTATTTATTTTTTGCTTTTATCAAATTTCAGCTGTTCAAATTGATCTTGCATTAACAGCGATGAAACATTTTAATCCTGGTTTCACCTTCTTAGGCAGCTTTCAGCACAAATCATCCAGCATTAAACGCTCACACTGAACTTTCACCGGAAATGTAATTCCTCTAGTTTTGGTTTGTGCCTCTAATTGCTTGCAGGAAGGAATAAACGGGGCGTGAATTCTCAGCTGCCACAGTCTGAGTGGGTATTAAAAGCTGATGCAAGCAGCAGAAAGTGAGACCTGGCGGTGCGGTGTAACTACGACACCCTGTTGTAACAGTCCACAGATGGTTTGAACGTCAGAGCTTTGCTCTGGGATTATGGATAATGTTTCTGTCGTGAGAGTTTTCACTCTCGCAGGGATAAATGAGACATTGGAGTCTAGGATGGCCATCTTCTCGCTCACTCTGATTTATTACTGTGTGATTCTGTTTTTAAATGTCTCTCTCATTGTTATCATAGTGATGGATGAAACCCTGCATGAACCCATGTACATTTTACTCTGCAGTGTTTGCATTAATGCAGTTTATGGCACAACAGGCTTCTTCCCTAAGTTCCTTTTCGATCTGCTGTCGCTTACTCAAGAAATCTCGTATGAATGCTGTCTGTTGCAAGCTTTTGTCATGTACTCCTATGCTTGTTGCGAGTTGTCCATCCTGGCCGTTATGGCCTACGACAGATATCTGGCCATATGTCGACCGCTGCACTACAGCTCCTTCATGACGAGGAGGAGGCTCTCTCAGCTGGTCAGTTTCTCCTGGCTGACCCCGTTCTGTGCTTTCTCCATCAGTATCCTGCTCACGTCTAGACTGGAGTTGTGCAGCTCCAAAATTAGGAGGATCTTTTGTGTGAACTGGATAATCGTTCAGCTTGCGTGCTCAGACAGCAACACCCTTGCAAACAGCATCATTTCATATGCGACGATTGTCATTTATGTGTGCCACGGCTTCTTCATCGTTTGGACCTACTTACATCTTGTTAAGACGTGCACAAGGTCCAAAGAAGACAGGGTGAAGTTTATGCAGACGTGCGTGCCGCATTTGGTGTCTTTGGTCACTTTCTTGGTGGTCATTGTTTTTGATTTGATGTACATGAGGTTCGGCTTCAGAGATTTACCCCAGAACCTTCAGAACTTCATCGCTGTCGAGTTTCTCCTTTTTCCTCCGGTGATGAATCCTTTGATATACGGATTCAAACTGACCAAAATACGGAACAAAATCCTAAGTTTAGTTTAAATTTGTGGACATTTAATATATGTATATATATATTGTGTGTTCAGATTTTGTTGGTTAAAAAATTATTATTTTTAGTTTTTTTGATGTTTCAGGTAATTTATTTCACATTTCTTTGTGGCTTTGATATGAATGAAGACAGTTTATTACACTTTATTAAAAAATACTGTATCCTGATGCAAACATGTGCAAAAAAAATACAGATTGTCAATTGAAGTCATGAGCATTTATGTGTTAACGTCCTATTTTTGAGAAATGATGAGGCTAAGAAGCGTCCTGCAGTGTGTATTCTTGTCACTTTCTGCTCGAGATGACTCACATTTTGGTTGTTTTTTTTAAATATCCATAAAGGAAATATTTAAAACAAAGGCGAATTTAAGATATTTATGATCTTTTTATTATTTGTTCATTGTTTTGTATGTAATATTATGGACCTCTGGTGTTGTATTTTAATAGCAGGTGTGTTTTGGTGCTGAAGTCTACAGTCAGCCTCAGACTGGCTGGAGTGTGAAACTCAAAATAATAATAATAAAAAAATCATGTAAAGTTAAGTTTGTTGCTTCCTGACTGGTTTTGGTTTCTATTTACTTGTTTCTTTTTTCCAACACAATATTTGATTCTAAATGAAGTGCAGCTGATCAGGACTGGGTGTTAAACTCAAAGATAGAAAGTAAACAGGAAACACTGGTTTGTGATTCTATTATAAATATATATTGAACATCACACTGCCATGCATTCATGTTATTTAATTATGCTTTTGCCTTTAAAAGCATAAGCCAAATATGTAAAAATGTTAAAGTTGTGTCTTGAGTAATTATTTCAGTGTAATTTTTTTTGTGTATTCTGTACTATTTTGCATATTTTTGGTTAAATTCATTGTGGACAAAAAGTAAAACAACTTTAAAGTCAATGTTTAGTTGGGAACTTGGTGTCTAAATTCAAAAATAATTCAGCTCTTGTAATATTTAAAGCTTAGTTTATAACATGTGTAGTGAGACACGTGAGGTACGTGTCACTTGTTGTATGACAAATATATGGATATATATTTATGCATACTTTTCACGAGTTCTTCATTTTTCTGACTGTAAATGTCGTGCATTGAATTTAACAGAAATGTGAACGAGAGACGTTATTTATCTTTGACCCATCAAATGAATGGAATCATTTATTTTCAAAATCAAAGTTTAACATCAAACATTTACATTAATTTGGCAAAATATGAAAATAATAACAGACAGTTTCACAGAAAATGAACTTCAAATCACTCGGCGGTGATTTGAGGACTTTGCTTAAGATATTTCTAAAATATCTGTACTGATTTATGAGAGAGAGGTGGGTTTTAGAGTGAAAGGAGATTATCTTACGGAGAACTGTGTGAGGGAAGTTTAATCTGTTTAACCAGAAATTGCACGCTTCGTCAGATCCTCAGCTTCTCACGGTACACTTGGTCAAAATAGAACCATCTACCTGTTGACGATGAATCAGCGTTGGATGTAGTTCCTTTCTGACTCGTTTCAGCGTCTCCGTCGAGAGCTACCAAACCTTCAGAAAGTCGTGCGTTGATTAGCTCAAAACAGAAGTATAATCCCAAACGTTCCTGGTTCTTCATAACTCCAAACTCTTCATAACCGGCTGCACTCTCAATCTGCTCATTCTGTTGGACTATCGGACCTGTTGTCAGCTCTCATTCCAACATCTCTCAGAACTCTCATTCTCTTGGAATTCTGGAATCCATAATTCTCTATTCCTTCTCTTCTCTATCTATGAACTGAGAAGTTGCCACATTTTATTTGGGTCGACTTCCTGTTCAATTTAGAGCTTTCTGATTCGTGGAAGGACCAGAAAGAGGAGTGGATTTGTGACGTAAGATGTTATCATAAGTCAAGGATTGTTTACAACATACAGAAAAGATTATTGCAGCAACAGCAGACTTCGTGGAGTCTCACACTTTGTAATCTTTTCAAATAGTAAAACATGACATTTTTCTCGGTAAACATTTTAGTTGACCGAAAACCAACCTTTAACATACTTACGACAGCTTGCTCATTTCAGACAGAAAATCAAGAAAGGCATATTCAGGTGATTTCTTCTCTGAATGAGGAACAAAAATCATTACTTACTGTTTATGTAAAATAAAAATTAGTAGTTCTTTTCAACCTGTAAAGCATTGAGTGAACTAACACAATTTGATTATCAAAACATTTGTAAGACAGTAATGATTATAAAGAATTGTCTTTTCTGCTTGATTAATTCAAGAAAGAAAGTTCATCAGATGGTTCAGACTTATTCAGATCAATGAAAATAACAGTCTCTGTCCATCTGGTATATTTGAGGTTATCTGGTTCACTACAATGTTATCTGGGCTAGTGGCTTTGTGAGAAAAAAAAATCCTCCTGAAGGTCCTCCTTACTTCTGTTGAGGTCATGCTAAGCAACTTCTCTTCAGATGGTGACGTGAGTCTGGTGCTGGGTGGTCTATTTGGGTCTTCAAAGTGGGCATAGAACCTGTTAAGAGCATCAGGCAATGATGGGTCCCTAGGGCATGGTGCACATCTGATTTTATCATCTATGATGCACTTAATGCCCTGCCACATACTTCTTGGGTCCTGTGAAGAGAAATGTCCCAGGATCTTCCATGCGTATGTTGCTTTGGCCCTCTTAATGCCAGCAGCCAGCTCTTTCCTTGCCTCCCCAGTTCCTGTGAGTCACCAGACCTGAAGACAACATCCATGGCTTTGAGCAAGGTACGGACATCTACATTCAGCCAGGATTTCTGGTTTGGGTAGCAAGTCACAGTCCTGGTGGTGGTGACATCTTCAACTTGCTGATGTATCCAAGGAAAGCAGATGTGTATTCATCCAGATCCAGTGCTTCCTCATTTACAGCGTCCTTCCTGAAGACCTGCCAGTGAGTGCATGCAAAGCAGTCCTACAGTATAGAGTCACTGTCACTGGGCCACACAGTGATGATCTTCTGTGTGGGTCTGAAATGTTTCGGCAGGGAGTGATAGACAGGGGCCAGAAAAATAGAGATGTGGTCAGAGAGGCCAAGGTGGCAGTATATTATGGCTCTATATGTGTCTCGTATGTTTGTATAAATATGGTCTAGTGTTATTTCCTCATGTTGGTATGTGGTGACATGCTGATAAAATTTTGGCAGAGCGTCTTTCAGGTTTACGTGATTAAAATCCCCAGCAACCACATAAAAAGCCTCCGGATGCTTGTTTTGAAACAAGCTGCTGTTATCATTTAACTCCCACAGAGCGTCTTTAGCATTAGCATCCAGAGCTATATAGACAACAATGATATACACAGCTATAAACTCACGAGGTAAATAATGTGGCTGACATTTCACAGTCAGTTGTTCCACAGCCTCAGAGTAAGAACTGTTTATCAGAACACAGTTTGTACACCAACTTTGGATTGCATACACGCACAACACCTAGATACCTTAGATAAGAAAAAGGGAAGAAAAACATAAGGAGCGAGGTATGAAAAAGATCTCTCACACCATGTCCTAGACAGGGTATGGTTTGAGGCATCAAAAAAAAATCTACCACAGTAAAGCAACATAAATAGACATATTACATATGCATGTGGAGTGGGTAGGAGGTGGGGGGGTCCCAGCACGACCGTCAATTGAGTGACACAGCCCTTGGTGCCTTCGCATCTCCTAGGTTGCTGTGCCAGGAGAGGCGAGGGAGGCCAGTGGAGGCATTGCGTGCAGGGAAGGGCGTAGCATAGCATTCTATAGCCCCCCAGCCATAGTCCTGATAAGAGGTGTTTGTTTATCAGCTAGCTCGGTTGAGCTCTGTCACAGGTCTATGACCTTGGGGAAGTGAGGGAGGGGTGTGGGGAGGGGGACAGAACGTCTTTGTTTTCATACCATCCAAGGAGAAATTTGAGATTCAATTCAATTCAAAAATACTTTATTAATCCCAAAGGGAAATTAAGTGTTGTCGTAGCTCATCATCCTGGTTTCATTCATGAGTTGCTAGATGCTGATAGGAAGGTTTTCCTGCAGTGAAGCCGAATAATCTGGTCACAGATACTGATCCGTCCACCCGGATCCAGCTTGATGTCAGATCCAGTGGGCCTCTCGGTCCTCCTGGGCAGCAGGACTGCCCAAATGTCAGGCAGAATTCCTCCCTGAGCGATGGTCGCTGCTCCCAGCAGTCTGCCGAGCTTCTCATCACCACAGACAGACAGCTGAAGGTGCCGGGAGATGATCCCGGTCCTCCCATTGTCCCAAGCCGAGTTTCTCACCAGCTCCAGGATCTCAGTGGTCAGGTAATAGAGAACCGCTGCCAGGTTGACGGGAATAATCCACGGCACCTCCTTTTCAACTAATTTGGGATTTGGGGCTGTAGTTGAAGTATTTGAGCTTTGAGATGTTAATCAGCTGCTCCTGGTTGTTAAAAAAAAAAAAACTTGTTGCCATGGTTACGCATCATAACAAATGCCCCAAAGTAAAAAGGTTTCAGTAAAAATCCTTCCAGCTGCATAGCATCTAATTCCAGAGGAGGTAATCATCTGAAAAAAAGTGATTTACATCCAGAAAAAAAGTGGAATTAGTTTTAAAAGCAATAACTCAGAATGAAAGTAACAGAGCTACTCCAACATGCAGCCACCCCGAGCGGTGCAATTCACTGCCTTCCAAGGCCAGTTCCAGACTCAGATATCAACATTGTTTTTGGGTCAGGCTGAACTTGTAAATTTCTGTGTTTGCCTTACAGTCTCGCTAATACATTTTCTCATGGTAACTCCAAACAGCTGAATTTGATTACTTACGCCAAGTCGAGCTTACAACTTCTTCAAGATTTATTCCTTCCAGCCATTCATGAACACTGACAGAAAGTTCCATAGTCCTGATAAGGATAAGCCTGCTCAGCTACACTACGACATACATCACCACATTAAAAAAAATCGTATAGTTTGCACATAGTCTTGAGCAGGGGTCCCCAAACTTTTTCCTGTGAGGGCCACATAACTTTTCCCTTCTCTGGTGGAGGGCCGGAGTCAGTTTGTAACAGAAAAAGTGTGACGATTGCAGGACTGCCTAAACGTAAAAATTTATTGTTTTCCAGAAAGCACAATCAAATAACCCTCTCTGGGTTATTCACAGAACAAAATTCAGGAAGTAAATAACACTATTTATGAAATAAACAATAACCAAATAACCCTCTCTGGGTTCTTCACAGAACAAAATTCAGGAAGTAAATAACATTATTTATGAAATAAACAATAACCAAATAACCCTCTCTGGGGTATTGACAGAGAGGGTTATTATGATTATATTTTTTATAGTCAGAATGACTCATTCAAGTCAGAAAAGTGAGCTTACCTTTGTATGTTCATCAGTGTGAACTGTGGGCCTGTATCTGGCTGGTGAGAAGTTGAATCTCAGGTTCCATTCTAGTCACTGCCAGTCTCAAACACTGATGCAGGTGTTCATCTGTCAATCTTGATCTCATTGGAGTTTTCAGCAGTTTCATGCGTGAAAAGGTTTGCTCGCAAATATATGTGCTGCCAAAAAGTGTGGACATCTTCCTTGCGTGTTTTCTGATGTTAGGGTACGTGTCGTTTGGGAGGGCGGCATAGAAGTCAATGAGACCGCTGGGCTTGAACGCGTCTTTCAGAACATCACAGTTCTGTAACTCGGCCAACTCAAACTGATAAGAAGGCTGGGCTTGGTCAATGTCGGCAACAAAGGGGTTCTGGAAAAGACGGATTTCTTTTGCATAAACATGTAGTTCACGGAATCGCGCACCGAATTCCACCTTCAGCATTTCCAGTGCTTCCACACACTTTTCAGCTGGAAACGGGACCGCTGGGTTCTCTGCAGAGAGGTTTTGTGTAGCAGGGAGATGGATGAAGCTGTGCTTTTTCACGTGTCCCAAAAGCAGCTCTAGTTTCACCTCAAATGCTTTTATGTGGGAATACATTTCGCAAATGAGTTTCCCCTGGCCTTGTAGCTGCAAGTTAAAGCTGTTCAGCATTTCTGTCATGTCTGTTAAAAATGCGAGGTGCCATTTCCATTCTGGGTCGATCAACTCTGGCACCGTTTTGTTTTGTGAATGAAGAAATGCGTTAATTTGAGGTAGCAGCTCGTAAAAACACGTCAAAACTCTGCCCCGGCTCAACCATCGGACCTCTGTGTAGTACAGCACATCGCCGTGCGCAGATTCCAGTTCAGACAGGAATTCTTGGAACTGCCTGTGTTTAAGTCCCTTTGCTCTGATGAAGTTTATGCATGACACCACAACCTTCATGACAGAATCCCAAGTCAACACTTAGCAGCACAGTGCTTGCTGGTGAATTAGGCAGTGGACTTGTAACGGGGCGGTGAGACCTCGTTCTTCCATCTCCCGGTTCATGCGTCCTATTAGACCCCGAGACATGCCCACCATATTAGGAGCCCCGTCAGTTGTGATGCTGGCCAGCTTTGACCAGTCCAGGTCCAACTCTTCCATGGTTTGGTACACTTTGCCCAAAATATCCTCCCCCGTCGTAGTCCCTTTGAGACTTTGGAGGGCTGCCAGCTCCTCGCAGATCTCAAAGTTTGCACTAACTCCACGAACAAAAATGAGCAGTTGCGCGGTGTCCTGCACGTCCGTGCTAATGAAAAAAATTCAAATTCTTTCGTCTTCTGCTGCAGCTGGGCATATACATTACCCCCGATTTCTTCAATCCGTCTGGTGATTGTACTCGCTGATAGACTCACGGCATTAAAGACATCTTTCTTCTCAGGACACACCTCCTCCGCGACAGCGTTCATGCATTTCTTGACAAACTCTCCATCAGTGAAAGGTTTACCGCTGCTTGCTATCAGTTGAGCAACCCGAAAGCTGGCCCGAACAGATGACTGGTTCAGCTGAGCTTGGTGTACAAATGTATTCTGCTGAGCTAACAGTCCACTTTTTAGCTTTGAGAGTTTGTCTGCTCGCATTTGGCCTTGCAAGCTAGCATACGTGTCTTTGTGGCGGGATTCATAGTGTCGCCGCAGATTATATTCTTTGAATACTGCCACCGCCTCTTGACAGATGAGACAGACAGCCTTTTCTTTGCATTGAACAAAAAAATAATCGTTTGTCCACTGCAGGTTAAATGCACTGCATTCTGAATCAATTTTTCTCTTACCTAATCTTTTCGCCATTATTCCGTTCTGTCTTTGCGAGGGGCGGGTTTAGAATTTTTTTCTGGGGGTTGCCAGATAGGGGCACAGACCACAGAAGGGTGGAACAGAATGTTACGTTATATGCGTGTATGAAATAGTTATTGACTTATGTATTATAGTATTATATTACTTAATAATGAAAATAGTTCATAACTAAGAAACATTTTATTGCAAAAGTCCAACTTTATTATCAAATACAAATACACATATATGAAAAAAATTCTAAATGCTCTCTGGTATTGTTCAGGGGGCCGGACCAAATATGGTCGGGGGCCGGATCTGGCCCACGGGCCGTAGTTTGGGGACCACTGGTCTTGAGTGTTGCCAAGCTTGGCACATTCTTCACATTCCAGGCAACTTTTATATATTACGAGTTTATTCTTGTATTATTATGACTTTATTCTCGTAAAATTAGGACTTTATTCTCGTATTATTTCAACTTTATTCTCGTACGACTTTACTCGCGTAATTTTACGACTTTATTCTCATAATACTGTGACTTTTTTTCTCGCAATGTAATATTTTTCCTTAGCTTGCCGCTAATACTCTGTTGTAATAAACATATCAAATGTTGAAAGTAATTTTTTTGTTTGTTTGTTTGTTTTTATGGCAGCAACCCATCTCAAAAACTTAGGCCAGGGTCATGTTTACCACTTTGAATCTTCCCCTCTACTTTTACCAACAGTCTGTAAATGTTTAGAGACCATTTTCTTCTTTGCTCAATAGTTTGCTGTATCGGAGCAGATGTTCTAAAACCTGTGTACAATTTTCTGCATTGATTGTGCCTGTCCGGATACGTATGCTGTCCACGCCAGGGGCATTAATGTACCCCCATACCACTAGAGAGGCAGACTTCTGGACTGCAGTGAGTGCAGGCTGGATGTTCCCTCTCCTCTTTAGTACAGAGGACATGGTCTCTGTGGTTTCCAAAGGAAGTTCTTAATTTTTATTCATTGGACCACAGAGCAGTTTTCCATTTTGCCTCAGATCTTTTTTAATTACCTTTGGCCTCTTTTACAAGATAGAGCAGTTGCATGAAGATACACTCCCCTGACTATGACCTCTGACCCTTGGGTTTTCTACCAGACAAACCATGAACTGTTTTCTTTGAATAATGTCTGATGTTTTCACATTTACTGTCCTTGGCTCAGAGTCAGCAACAGTCTGACTATTGTTTACACTTTTTATATCTTATAAGAAATAATAAACAAAATCATTAATGAAGATTGTTTTATTTGATTATGTGTATTATGTTATGGGTCCAGGAGGAAGGAGGAAGGTCCAAGAGGAATGGACCAAGGAGGAACCCAGACCCAGACCAGTAGACATTCAACATAAAATATATTCTACAAAACTCTCCTTTCAAGTTGTGTAAAAACATTTTTTTTTCTTATTTTTTTTTTTTCTTTTTGTCTCACCTTTTCGTCCTCTTTGCTTGAAAATACGAGTTTGTTTTGTGCTTAGTTTACTACAGAGGCCAAAAATACAAGCCTTAACATCATAAACAAAAGTATTTTACTCACTGCTTCGTAGTTTTGCTCCTGATAAACATCTGTCATTTTCACATCATGACATGATAATTATTCAAATGAGTTTGTTGTTAAAAAGAGTTTAAATTTCACAAAACAAAACAGCAACAAAGTAAAAACTAAATAAAGCCACAGCATGAAGAATCTTTATCATCACATTTTTAATTATTTGCATGAAAAAAATCTTTAACTTAAATTAACATTTTAAAAATAACTTTTTTAAGGAACAGGTACTATCAAAATCTATCAGTCCAATAGGTCATGAAGACTTACAGTCACATATTGTCCTGATACGTTTATTTAATATATTAATGAGAAAAACAAACTTGATCAATTATCGGCCCCCATGGTATAAAATACACATTTAAAAAACGACTAATAAGGGCTTTGAAGTGATTGTCGATCTAAAACTCATTCCGTGAAAAAAAAAATCTATTAAAAAAATGTTTTTTCCATCCTAAAATTGTGCACACTCAATTTTGTTTTTTTAAGATGTCGTGACATTTACATGTTTTTTTTTTTTTTTTTTTCCCCAGATAAATAATTCACTCATGCTTTTTTCATTTTCCCTTTATTTATCCAGGTAGTCTCATTGAGCCACGAGAACTCATTTTCAAGAGAGAACTGTTTAGGGAGCAGATGGTGGGGGTTGAGGGCTTTGCTCAGGGGCAATGAGTGGGGAGAGTGAGGGTGGAGGGAGGTGTGGGGGTTTCACCTTTTCCACCCACATTTTGATGTTCACAGTACCGGGAGGTGAACCTAAAACTTTCTGCTCACAAGCCCATCTTCTAACCTCTGCGCCACCACTCCCCCATTTTGATTTTCATGATTGAAATAGTCTGAAACCGGATAATTATTAAATCAGTCAACAAAAGATCTGGATTCACACATCAGAGGGTGGTTCTTTTGACATAACTCTCACATATGAAGAAACATCAGGATCTGTCAGTTTTACCTTCTGAGCTGCTTGTTGTACCAACTTAGTCTCAAAAAGCTTCTACGCACTTCAGTTAAATTAAGACCGTATATGATAGGGTTCAAAAGAGGGGGAATAATCAGAAACTGGATAGCCATGAAGTTTTTCAAACTCTGCTCTAAATATTTGGACCCGAATCGACCGTACATGAGGTCAAAAAGAAGAGCGGCAGTGACATTAACCAGACAGAACAAATGTGGTGCGCACGTCTGCAGGAACTTCTTCCTGCAATCCTGATACTTTAAAGAAAACTTTACCAACTGCACATAGGAACACATAACGTAGACAGCATGGAGGAAATACAGAAGTGTAACACAATATCCAAAAATATTATTAGACATGGTTGAATGACATGACAGCATGAGGACAGACCAGTTATCACAATACAGTTTGTCTATGTGGGAGCCACATAATGTCAGCGTAGCTGTCAAAATCACCCCAACAGACAGACAGCTCAATGGCACAAGTCTGGAGAAACACACCAAAAAGACAACCCATTGTTTTGTCATGATAACATGGTACTGCAGAGGGCGGCATATAGCAAGATATCGGTCATAGGCCATCACAGCCAGGATAGAGAAATCAGTTGTTGCATAGGAATAAATAAAAAAGGCCTGCAAGAGACAACCAGTGTAAGATATGACATAAGTGTTGGCCAACAGGTCGAAGAGGAACTTGGGGTGAAAGGCTGCTGTCCCACAAAGACTGTTGAAGCACAGGTTACACAAGAAGATGTACATGGGACTGTGAAGTTTTTCTTCAAGTATGACTGTAAAGATGAGAGCCACATTCACAAACAAAATGGCACTGTAACAAAACAGGTTTAGAGAGAAGAGTGTGACTCTGTATTTTGTTGTTGTGTCCTTCAGGCCTGACAATGTGAATACCTCTACCATGGTTGCATTGATCATTATTTATCTGCCTCCAAAAATATCCTCTGAGCAGTTATCTCTGTCGGTTTGTTTTTCACATCTCCATGTAAGAGTCAGAGATGAGATGATGAAACGTCTCGGCTGCTGAAAAGCAGTCCAGCAGTGTGAACTCTTTTAATCCTTGCTAAAGGTTACGACATCACCACTCACAGCTTCATCTCCAGAGCTTTTTTAATCACACCTGAGACAATTTGATTTTATTGAAGGTGGTGAGCAAAGAAGAGCTCCTGAAACAGTGTGTTAGTAGTACAGCCACTGATGTCTCCATCATGTCTTCATGATAGTATAAGGTTCAATGTTCAAGGTTCTTTATTGTCACTTGCATCACATGTGGTACATGAGATGGAACAAAATTGTGTACTCAAGGTCCCAAATACACTAAAAAATAACAAAAATATAAAGGATAAAAACAGTACACAAGGATCTAAGATATACACAAAACAACAATAATATAGTATACTGTAATAGGGTGTATTAAATAGCAGCCTGAACATGACTCTGTTGTGAGCAGATGGGTATGAATATAGCAACTTAAGGCAAGAAATCAGCAGCATTGATAATCAGCAGCTCAGATAAAGTGACAAATTTCCAAATAGTGGCATTACAATGATTTTTCTTGTTAAGGATTTGAGTCTCATAGCTTCAGGGTAGAGCTGTTCCTCAGTCTAGTGATTCTACACTTAATGCTCCACAACCTCCTGCCTGAGGGGAGTGGGGCAAAAAATGTGTGTGCTGGGTGAGTGGGGTCCTTCATGATGCAGGTGGCCCTCTTCCTGCATCTGGAAGTGTAGTTGTCTGTAATGTTGGGGAGGCTGACTCCAACAGTCTTCTATTCAGCCTTCACTACTCTCTGCAGAGTTTTCTCGCTGCAGCTGTGCAACCTCCATGCCACACATTGATGCTGGCGCACAGGATGCTCTTGTAGTATGACATATCCTGAGATATATTCATACTGTTAAAAGGGTTCTTTCATTTTTCTGGACTGTATAACATACGTGCATTGAATTTAATAAAATGTGGACGTGAGATGTTAATTATCTTTGACTCACCAAACGAGTGGGTCATTTATTAACAGAATCAAGTTTAACACATCACACATTTACATTAATTGGCAAGAATTGAAAAATAACGACAGCTTATTAACCAGTTTTACAGGAGTGAGAACAATACGGCGATTGTTTTCCTCACTTTCAGCAGAACAGACGTCAAATCACACGGCGGTGATTTGAAAACTTTGCTTCAGACATTTCTAAAAATATCTGTAATGACTTTAGCAGATAGAAGAATTTTAAAGATGGAAGATGAAGTTTAAAGGGAGAAAAGGTGGGTGAGGGAGTTTGTTTATGTCGGCACCAGAAACAGCACTCTCCGGGTTTCTCAGCTTTTTCCCCGGTACACTTAGGTGGCAGAATTCAACTCTTTTACCTGGAGATGTCCCCACCGATATGAAAGTCCATTCAACGCACCCTTTCAGTGTCTCCGTAGGAACAGCTGTGAATCGTCCGAAGTAGTGACGGTATTCCGTTCGACACAAATTCACCTCAGCAAGTGAACTTCACATGAGTGGAGTCCGTCAGTGTTCCACCTAGAGGTGGAAGATTTATAATCCCATAAGACTCGGGAGAGCTCTGTGGTCATGTCCTGTTTCCCAGCTTGGAACTTCGACCCAACAGGAACTGAGGAGAACTAGGAAGTACCGACATTTAAAGAGCTCTATTTCCGGTGTATTTGAGAGCCTCTGATTGGTCGATGGACCAGAACAGAGGTGTGTTTTGTGATGTAAGGTGTTATGAAAAGTCAAGGAAAAGATTAAGATTGTTTAAGAACAGACAAAAAAATATTATGGAGAAACCAGACTTCGTGGAGTCACTACTCCCAGTATCTTGCTGTAAAAGTTAAACATGACATTTCTTTTCAGTAAACTTTCAGTTGACCGAAGCTTGAACTTCGACACACTTACAAACTTTGCTCATTGAAGACAGAAAATCAGACAATGCATCATTCACCTGATTTCTTCTTTGAATGAGGATTAAAAATCATTATTAATGTTTTAAGTAAATAAAAATGATTAGTTCACTTCAACATGTAAACATTGTTTGAACTAACACAATTTGATAATCAAAACATTTGTAAAATAGTAATGATCATAGAGAATTGACTTTTTCCACTTGATTAATTCAAGAAAGAAAGTCTCAGGATGGGTCAACCTGTATTTCTGGATGCAAATCAATGAAATGACAGTTTCTGACCATATGATCCTAAGGTCAAGTTTTGAGATCAGGCTTAGTTCACTACACTCTCCACTGCACACCTGTAGAAGGAGGTGAGGACTGAGATTCCCAGTCCAGCTCGCCTCAGCTGCCTGAGGAAGTAGAGTCTCTGACGTGCTTTCTTGATCAGGCTGGTGGTGTCGTTGCCCCAGCTGAGGTTATTATTTAGATGCGCACCCAAGTACTTGTAGCTTGAGATCACATACACTGCAGATCTTCCTATGTTCAAGAGGGGGTGGGGGTGTTTGCACCTTCTGAAATCTACAATTATCTACGTTGTCTCCTTCACATTGATGGGGAGGTTGTTCTTCCTGTACCAGCTTTCCAGGTGTTCCATGTCCTGCCTGTAGCTGCACTCATTGTTGTTTGTGATTAATCCAATCACCGCTGTATTGTATGCAAACTTTACAATATGACAGCCTGGATGGGTAGGTGCACACGTGAGCAGAGTGAAAAGGAGGGGGCTCAACACACAGCCCTGAGGGGAGCCAGTGCTGAGGATTATAGTGGAAGAGGAGAAGTTGTGAATCCTCACAGACTGTGGTCTGTTGATTAAGAAGTCTACGACCCAGTTGCATATAGAGGGACTTGGTCTTAGTGTGATTAGTTTGTCCATCAGGGTCTGGGGAATCATGGTGTTGAAGGCAGATGAGAAGTCCACAAAGAGCATACAAACATAGGAGTCTTGTTCCAACTGGGTGAGAGCAGTGTGGACCACAGAGGATATGGCATCTTCTGTTGATCAATTCTCATGGTATGCATACTGATAATGGTTCTCGTTGATGTTGATGTTAGCTTTGATGTGTGTCATGACCAGTTTTTCAAAGCATTTAGCGACTATCGGAGTGAGGGCTACCGACCGATAAGTCATTCAGACCAGTCACTGTAGAGCTCTTTGGAGCTGGGATAATGGTGGCAGTCTTGAGGCAGGTGGGAACAGTTGCCAGGGTGAGGGAGGAGTTAAATATGTCAGCCAGCACCTCGCAGAGCTGATCGGCACAGTCTTTCAGCACCTTCCCCGGGATGTTGTTCGGGCCAGTTGCCTTGTGAGGATTAATCCTCCTGAAAGTACTCCTTACTTCGACTGAGGTCACACTGAGGAACTTTAAGTTAAGTTAAATAAAAACATTGCAATGATTTTCAAATGTTTTACTCACTGTGGAACAAAATAAACTACGGTGGAGTATTAGGGTCACGCTAAGAAAAAGAACTACATTAGGAGAAAAACATCATAAAATTACGAGAATGAAGTCATAGTATTACAAGAATAAAGTTGTATGACAATTAAGTTGTAAATTACGATAATAAAGTCGAAATAATACAAGAATAAAGTCATAGTATTACGAAAATAAACTCGTAATAATACCAGAAGAAGGTCGTAATATTATCAGAACTCTGACATGAAAAAGCAGTCTTACAACTGGGGTGAAATGATGAAGCATCTTATTAAGTTATACTTTGGTATTGGTTTTACAAATAAGGAAATACTTACAGTTGTGGGATTCTCAGTTTTCACTCCCTTTTCTGTTCATCAACTCTGCAACTAATCAGCTGATTGACGACACCTGCACCTCGTCTGCCAGACCTGTTTTACCCTGCAATTTTTAAACCCCAGCCAGACACTCATCCAACGCTGGAGCATTGATTACCTTGGTAATTCTGTGACAGCCAGTCAGCCTTAGAAACATTCTCGAGTTTTGCTAACCTGTTGTTGTTGTTCTGCCTGCCAGTTCTGTTTCCTGTTCCCGTGGATCTGCCCATCTTCTCCTTGGACCTCTGGCTGGATCTGGTTGTCAAAACCTGCACACCCAACGCTGCTCAGCAAACCACACTCTGGGTACCTGGACACAACATCCCTGCAGATATCTTCTTACCTCTCTGGATTCCCTCTTGTCACTGAACACTGTCTCCTATCCACCTCGGCGCCATCTGCAATAAACAAACACGGTAAGAAAGACTTCTACCTACTTTGTATAAAGAACATCACATCAGCTATTGTGGTCAAGAGACTCATCTTGTCCTCCGCTTCTCCCACAGCAAACCAACACGTTTACCTGCACTGTAAATAAACATTCACCTTTTGTATCCTGTTGTCCTGGTCTCTTTCTGGTCTGCCAGTTGGAGTCTAAATACCGTCATCATGTTAACAGTAATTTGTCAGCGCATCAGATTATTATCAGTATCAAGACTTCGAACCAATTGTGCAAACAACTATTTCTGTTTTGAAGAAATAACCACATGGATTAGGAAAATATTGCTTCTTTTGTGGAAGAGGAGTTTTCTGGTGGTTACATCTGCGTGCCATTCAAAGAGGTTTTGTTGTTTCTCAGCAGACAATGAGGATGGTCATCAAGATTTTGGATCCAGTGGGAGCTGAACTTCGGCGAGCATGGCATCTCAGACATTGCTGTTTATCTAATTGAAATCTACTTTATTCTGGTAATATTACGAGTTTAAACTTGTAATATTATGACTTTATTCTCATAATATTACAACTTTTTATTCTTGTATTATTTCGACTTTATTCTCGTATGAATTTGTTCTCATAATACTGTGACTACTTTCTCGCAATGGAATTTTTTTTCTTAACGTGCTGCTAATACGCCGTCATGGTAAACATATCAAATGTTGAAAGTTAAGAAATTTTCTGTTTTTTGTTTTGTTTTGTTTTTTTGATGGCAGCAACACATCTCAAAAAGAAGAGCCAGG